CCCCAAAACCCCAAAACCCCAAAACCCCTCGACCCACCTCAAAATTTCCATCCTAAATAATATTTATTTTATCCAAGATGTCGACCAGAGCTGTGATCTGGCTTTTGGTGTGAATAGGGCTTACAGTGGGAACAGAGGGAGAGAAGTGGGGTGACAGGTTTTATCAACAAGAGTTCTGATTTGGAGACCCCAAGAAGTTTGATAATAGGATTTTTGGCATGGAAGAGAGGGAGAATGGGGTGTTGGGGAGTTTGGAGAGAGATAATGTGGAGTTGTTGGTGAAGTACGTTAATAGTTACCATTATTCGGGAGAGGCTGAGATGGGGACGAGTTATATGATATCAGGAGAAGTTGGAAATTTGAGGAGCACTGAAATTAACATAATCGTAAGTAGCTATGATTCAAAATAATGATATGCTGAATTTATGATGTAAAATCATCTTTATCTTAATTTACCAATACATTTAATCTCTTTAAACAGTGATTTTAACAGATCTCCGACTAGTTTTAACACCAGAATTGGAATAAGCACCAACAAGGGCTCATTCTGGTTGAGAGAAATATAGCAACAAAAGGTGTAGAGGAGTAAAGAAAGTAGTTAAAAGATAGACAGGCTAATAGAGTTAGAAGTTTGGTGTTTTGTTTGGGTATAAATAGTGCATGGGTTTTTGGAAAATGGAGATAGAGCTATCAGAAATTTCATTCGTTCGGTTTAGAGTTAACCATTCGGAGTGGTATTTGAGTTTATTTGGAAATTATAGAGCCTGATGCAGAATGAGACCCTTCCTGATACTCTGTTTATTGGCTTTGGACTTGATAATCATGAAAAGGTAGATAAAGATAACCCTCTTGTCTTCAAAGTTATTGTTGCGGTCAGAAAGGTAATTGAGAATTTTATTTTAGAAGAAAGAGTCAAGCTCGCTTAGTTTGGAGCCATTATATCACAAAGGGTTAAAGATACATTCGTATGAATCACTTTGCTATTACTGTTCAAGTAAGATCCAAGACCCAGCTCCATGAGTACTAGACATGACTCTAAAGACTTGGGGAGGATATAATGAAATATCTGCTAAAACTCAAGTCCACTCAAAAATGATTATTTCTGAGCTTCAAAATACATTTAAAGCAGATTTAAAAGGAGGAAGTGCTTATGAACTGAGCTATGGCTTTCATTTCTTTTTCTCCTTCATTCTGCTACTTCCTCTTATCGGACCTATCCTCATTCCTCTTGGACATAATTATAGGCTATTTGATCTTCAAAGTGGAGATTTTAAAGAAAGATCCATATTTTTGACAACAAGGGTTATATTTTACACATATGCCATATTTACTATAAACATGGTCTGGCTGAGCATGTTTGGAGATAATTCAGATGGTGCACTCTTCATGCCCGCTCTATTGATTCTGATAATAATGGCTAACCTAGTGGCATCATTCTATGTTTTACCCTACTCAATATTGTTGATTAATAACTTTATAGATTTCCTAAGCGGGAATACATCTGATTTTGGTCCATTGCCTTGTTTGACCTTATTGATATTCACCTTGCTGTACCTAGTCATCACAATATTCCTCCCCTTCAAAAACTTCATCTTCACAAAATCAGCCTACGCCTTCCTCACTATACCCCTTCTCGCCAACTTCATCCTCAATTTCTCCATAAAGACCAGACAAAACGACCAGTACATTCACTTAATCGTGGCTGCTTACATCACTCTGATACCATTCACTCCTTATGGACCATTCTACTTCTCTTCAACAGATTACTACTGCGTAGTGGCTTTCTTCATCTCCCAAGTAGCTTTAGTTACACTTATCCGTCAACAAGGGGTACATGGGAGTAGGTTTATACTTCCCGACTGTTTTAGGAGGAGGTATTATGATATTTTTAAGTTCAGAATTTCTGTCTTACCTAGTGAACAAGAGGCCAAGGAGACTTGTGGGGTGTGCAAAGGCTTGTTAGCCGAGCCTGGGGTAGAGGATCAGAATACTCCAAAACCTTTTAAGTTTGCACGAGTCAAAGATGAGCCAATGATATGTTATAGATTGCTTTGAGGGCATAAATTTCATCAGAAATGCATTCTGGAAGAGCTGAAGCAAACCCAGAAATGCCCTACATGCCAGCAACATATAGGGAAGGATTATTACATGGATTAAAACTGTTTTCAATAATCTCAGCTATCTAGGGGTTTTGGGGTTTTGGGGTTTTGGGGTTTTGGGG